GTTTAACTACTGTCCTCTACATCAGTACACAAGCAGTATATGGTTAGAAAACAAGAATACAATAGGGCTTGTTTATTTGTATAGCACTGAGGTTTTAGTCAGTATTAGTCTTAAGGAATAGGAAACTGGTATCCAAATTACTGGATATAAACACAGTAAGCAAAAGAACGTAATTTTATGATGAAGTTTTCAGATAAGTCTAAATATATTTTTGCTTTAATAAAAGAAACCTTATCTGAATATTCTTCCTTGGATTACATTACATTTTCTTGGCATTGTCAAACTCTTCACATCAGTCTAAGAAAGATATGTCTTCCTGAAGACTGAAATATCTCTGCCCAGACTCTTTCTCCCCTGCTTCACTTTTCCAGAGCTTAACAACCTGAAGCAACCAAGCACCTATCCAGTGTAGGTCCTCAGGCTGGGTTTGGAATTGGGTATGCTCTCTACTAAGCAGTACACATGCACCAGTACTCTTCAGGAGATGCTTCAGGAGGTGTCCAAAGTCTACCAGCCCGAGAATAATAACAGAGAGGAAGCCATTTGTTGTATCATGTGTACATAACAACAGCCAGGAGAACACGGACACTTATGTGTTCTATGAGAAGACATTTATGCTAGCCCTGCTGGATGCACACACATACTCACAAACATTTTCATCTACATTTTGGGAGCAGTTTGAAACTTAAGACTGTTTTCAGTTACGTTGCTAAAACACCAAGAAAGAGAAACATGAACAGTAAGGTATAAAAGAGTGAAAAAAGAAACAATGCAACAGAGGACTTGAAACAGAATATCAAAGGAGGGAATTCATGATGTACATTATCTAAGGTGGAAGGTACAAAACTAAACAGATTTATTGTCTGTTCATTCCTATCATACCTTGTAAAAAGTCTTTTGGTTTCCTAATTATAAGTTTCCCATGAGGCCTGTATGTGATCCTTTTCCCCAAAACTCAGTAAAACAATGACCACAGATGGCTTTCTTTGGTAAGTACAATAACTGGAGAATAAATCGCATCATGCTCATCCATTAATTCTGAGGTTTTCATATGGGTTCTGTAAAAGATATATCTGGATACAAATTTCTCAACATAGGATGTGTTTTGAAAATGATTGGATATTGAATTGGGTTGTAATATATAAAATTCATTTTAATGATTTAATCATCAATCACCCTGTGATGAGACTATTTAGCTCAACAGAAGGCAAATAATTCAAGCACTGCCTAAGAATTATTTTTAGGCATCAACTGGCAGTGTAAATAATTACTCAGTTTATGTCCATAATGACTGAATAAACTCTGGCTCTGAGACAAATGAATAAAACTACTTTGCATTTGCATAGCATTTGTCATCTACAGACCTGACAGTTTTAAAAGGATGGGCAAACATTCACAGTGACTATTTCTAGTGAAAAGAGAATGTCCCGAATAAATTGCTACTATGAAGGCAAATCAAAGCCCTCTTGAAAGACACCGGTGCATTTAGCCACAAGATTTAACAACCAAAATAAAGTGAAAACATATGCTATGCTTCTATGAAAGGGTAATCAGGCAGGAAAACAAGATTTTATAAAAGTTACAGAACTGCTTTTTTTGTAGAAATCTGAGATTAGCTGTATATGGAACATAATGATTATGTGCCCAGTCCAATCTCGTTGTCAGTTGTTAGTCTGTGAAGTTCATGTCACCATAAAGAGACTTATAAATACTATTTTTAACTTCAGATTTTGTCCAAATTCACTGTCTGAGCTGGGATGCCTTCCCATAATGCAGGCAGGCTCCTGGCTGAGCTGCAAGGCTAAGGACAGCTCTGCCACCTGTTCATGGTTATACAGGCAGCTCACTCCAAAGCAGATTTAGACAATGGGTAGAAATAGAACAAACTGTGCCCAGATGTACCAGGTCCCATTTCTTACCAACTTTGTCCCTTGGAAAGCAGTGACACCTTACTATCATAGGTGTGAAAGAATGGTGTTAGACTGGCCTGGCAGAACCAGAACCCGGCATGCTGCTTTTGGCTCTCCACATACCTTAGGCAAAACCACCTAAGAAAATGTAGGAACTAGAATTGGGCTGACCTAAAGGAGAAGAGAGTTCCGTTTTCTACCTTTGGGTTACAGAGTGTCTTACTGAAAAAGCTGTGCTTCAGCCCTCTTTCCTACTCTTCTGTATATAATATTTTATGTTTTTACACCTGGAGGAATCTAAAGCCGGCCTTTTTTTTCTTGCTGCGTGTTACAGGATGGAATAGTACATACTGTGAATGGATCCTGAACTGGGTTTTTTCAGTGCCACTGCACTGCAAATATAACACTAGCAGCTCAACATCTATGCATATATGCAAGTAGAAGGGTTTGTTAAATTTCTTTTTAATATTTGCACTGCAGTAATAACCCAGACCTGTTTAGTTTAGATAGAACTGTCTGGGCAGCACAATCATTCCAGTAGTATCACTTCCTTAATTTTTATGTGTGCATTGACAGAAGCAATCACTAAATCATTTTTATCACACTTGCTACACACAACATGACTTATTCTTTGTGAAGAATTGCAGAAAGAACCGTTCGTAAACAGCAGTAATAAAATAATTTTGCTCATATTCTTGCTACGAAGAAGAGAGCCCTCTGGCAGAAACTAACATGCTAACTGGGCACAAAACCATGCCTCAGCCCCATCAGACAAGAAGGGCAGAATACACCTGCACACAGAGTTTTTTTGTTTTTCTTTTACAGCAGAATGGGGTAAAATTTAACTGAAACTTAATAGCCGTTTTTCTTTTACCTTGAAAGTGGTGTGACTTTTTTTAAAGCAGGCTTTGAAGGGAGGTAAATTTGGCCTTTCAGGCGATTAGTTTTCAATTCTGCAAACATACATGTGAGTAATTGTCATTTTGCATATACAGATAAAGTTTAATACAGACATTGCTGGATCGAGACCACAGCCAGAACTTTTAAACAGAACGAGCTGGTATACTACTTGTCTAAACTTGTAGTCTAAAAAGAGACAAGGCACTGCCTAGCAAAGGAAGTGAAAGCTAGCTGAAGCAAAAGCAAATAGAAAGAACACTTCTGCTGTGTTGCTATAATACAATGCAAAGTTCTTATCTTTGCTGAATAATTTTGAATGACTACTACCAACATGTACCAAGGAATTTTATTTCCAAAGTCAATTGCTTTAGTTCAGCATGTTGGTCAATAAAGATAGGATGTGACTATTTAAATTGCACTTTTAGGCTACTTAGTTATCCACCACCAAATTAGTTGTCTTGACCCGCTGCACATGCTCATGTAAATATGATACAAGGACTTCTTTTGTGTACACCTCACAGCCAATCTTGTTGCAGATGCTAATATTTTCTATGATTTCACTCCTGAAAATTGTGGTAGAATTTGCTATCCCAGGGCACACTTGGGACTTCAGGAAGGCATCAAACCAGTGGCAGAATTAAATTATTCTCAGCTGAAATTACAGAGCAATAAAGCTTGTGCTTCATGGCTGTACTTCCCTTAATGAGATCATTCCAATGAAGTCAAGGCAAAAATACAGCCCAGTGTTTGTGTGTGAATCCAATTCTTGATGGAGCTCCATGCATTTCTGTTTCAGGATGGACCTCAAGATTAAACCTAATTTTAACTCAAGTGAATTATGCAGTATGGAAAAGCTCTAGACCACCACTAATCTTCTGCTAAAGTTATAAACCACTGCTTCACAAAGACGTAGCTAAGCAATTAGCTTACTTCAGTTATCAGGCAATAAAGTAGTTCCACAGAAATGAAAGTCAAATAACTCCATACATCTAGTACAGATCATCTAAGTTTTCAAGAGCAAAGAACAAATTAGCTACAAACTTAAGTCTGTGAATTGACTCTTTCTAGTAGAAACAGGAGTGTGTAGAAATTAGAGTACCTAAGCGTCAAATTATCTGAAGCAGAATTTCCTTTTAGTATTTTTAGATTAGGATCAATGTCTGCAATGTTTATTGAAAATACCTTTTCTTTCTCCCAAAACTTTCCTCTGTATGATGTTCTAGCAGATACTGTTTTTTTTTCTTACATGTTGCATAGCATGCTCATTTTGCAAAAGATACCTCCAGTTTAGGGTCTAATAGTATTTATATATTTCTGTTGAGACACTGATGTCTAGAATCATAAAACGTGTCAGTTTTAACATCTTTTTCTGAAATCCTCATTTTGTTTATGAACTTGATAGGATGCCTGTAATTGCTTTGGTGCCTGAATGGGATGTAGCAGCGTTAGTTAATCCCTGAGAACCTGAGGTATGAAGTTTCTTCACCCTGGGATCTTCTGTTCTGGTCTAGTGCTAGGTCTGCACTCCAGCAGCTGCAGACTTGCTGGGACAGGGGAAGCAAGGGCTAGTGCTCTCTGTCAGATTCCTCTTGCTGTGTCTGCTAGTTTGCAGTAGTGCTGCTGCAGGACTTGGGCCATATCCCAAATCTGAAAGACCAAAATTGGACTCAGCTTTTGAAAACATGGGCTGATTTGATGTCTCCAGATCCAACTTCATGTTTTAGCCATCTTTAATCAGCTTGCCTTTTCCTGTTGTGGCAAAATAACACCCCCTGTTTTGACAGCCTCTGGCTTTGTGGAATGGAAAGTCAAAATAAACAATGAAGACCACATGGAACATGCTAATACACAACCTCAAATGTTTCCTTGATTCCTAGGCCTATACTAGACAGCTTATCCAAACATTTCCTCCTGTTGATTCCTTCTGTCCCCCACGCCATCCTGGGTTACTAGATTTTAGACAGGAACTTCTAATACACAGAATCCAGATTAAAAGCAGAGTCTCATTAGCACGAACTCCTCTATCATAATTGTAATCTACAGTAAATGAATGCAATTAGCCACACCAGGATCACCATGGAGCCCTCTGCACACAGCCAGCCACCATAAGCTGACAGCAGGCTCTTGTATAAAGCTAGCACACGACATCCACTGCAACAGCAGGTCTACAGGGTTTCACTTTAAGGGACCATGTCATTGCTTCTCCTTCAGCTGTTAGTGCTCTCATGTCTTGGAGCCACAGAGCCACAGGGAGACTCAGGAAAAAGGAAAAGCAGAAGGCCATTTCAGCACCTTTTGTATCTGCACAAAGATCTGCTTGAAAGTAAGAGTTTTCGTGAGCTAGGAGGGGAAAACCCAGTAGGTGTTGAGGAAACTCTGGGAGAACCAAGCTTCTTTGTAGCAATTCCACAGACGGCATCAGCAAATGAGAAACAAGAGGAGAAAAAAATGTCCAGATTCATCCTTCCCACAGCAGAACTCCATGCAGATCAACACCTGAGAACACGAGCAGCACCCATAGGGACCTCTCCTGTGGAAAACTTCTCTCCATCTCACTATTCCAGCAAGCAGGAGGCTGAACTTCCCTATAGAAAAGATGCCAAGAAATTCTGGGACCATTTCATGTTAAAGAAAAATTCAGCATCGGAAGGTATAATCCTGCCAATCAAGACCAATGAAATGCATCAAGAAAACTGCAGAACCCTGCCTTTTTCCCAGGTAAGAGCAGGTGTCTGGGATCAATAAACATGTCCTTTCCCCTGCCTTTTATTATCAGCAACTAAAGACACAGCAGTTATTACACTTGCTCAGTGACAGGGACACTTCAGAACACTCACACACAGCAAATGGCTGGAAAACACTGCTGAAAAAGGCTGAAAAAGCTTTAGTGTGATGAGGCAAACGGCTACATGGCAGCACTAGAAAGCCACATATTCAATTTTCATAGACTTATTTATTCTCTTTATGCAAAGACCTAGCCTGAGCAAGGAGAGCAGTGGTGAGTAATTATGCAATGAATATATATCTAAACACTCTGTACACATTAATTGCCTGTATAAAAGATACATACACACACACATTGTGTAAATACAAAGTTTGGGGGCAACTATTTACAGGAGAAACTGCTTGTTTTACTATAGCTAAACAAAGATTCCTTTCTGCTGTATTAATAGGAAGACTAATGTATACATCTAATTCTGTGCTAAGAATGCTTCGAAACTGGTGAATTGTCCCGTGCTCAGAAGAAGTCATACTGTTATATTGTAACATCAAGATAAGCAAATATTGTAGATTAAAGTGCTGTTATCCTTGCAAAACAACATCTATTCTCAGTGTTGCCATAAATCACAGTCCTTTACGGACCATATTTTTTTCACATCTCTCTCTCTAAATTCATTTTACTGGCAGACATATGCAAATATACGTAGAAACTTGCACCACTTCACTTTTTGTGCCATGTAATATAGCAAGCTCTCTCTAGGATGGCTGCAGTTATGCCAATATAAAAGTGTTAGCTTCAGTCTAGCTTTTTATAGCCTGGAAGTTGACACAGGCTCTCCTGATACAAGGAATTTTTATGTTTGCAAATCAACAGATTAAAAAACTTCCATTACACTTTTAAAATTTTAATTTTTAAAAAATTGCTAAAAATGTCATGCCTCCTCCTTGTCATTCATTCCATGTCTCCTTCTTTGGAGACAAAATGTCAAGATTGTAGTTGAGTCTAGGTTGTGGTTTAGATACAAGAGTGATGTTTTAAGTCCTGCTAAGTGGTAACACTGCTTAACCATGTCAGAAATGCAGACTCAAAGAGTAATTAAAATCTAAACATGACAAATGCACATATTGGATTTCCCCCCATTAGATTGAAACAAATTTTGCCTTTATTGTACAATCTAAAAATTGCCCATGGGAGTGCTCAAGTTTTCTTTTAAAATCTCTGATGTTTTACTGCTTGATTGACATAAAAATTAAACATGTTCAAAGTAAATGTTCTAAGAAAAAAAAAAAATTTTTTTTTTTTTTTTTTTTTCCTTCATGCCTTCTAGCAAAGTCCATGGGCCCATTAATATACCAGAAACTTCAAACTGCTTTCTGTTTCAGGGTGTTACTCATGAGAGCTGCGACAAGGTGATGGTACAGAATAATCTGTGTTTTGGAAAATGTAGTTCCTTTCATGTTCCTGGTCCAGAAGATCGTCTGTATACTTTTTGTTCTCACTGCTTGCCTAGCAAGTTCTCCGTGAAGCGACTGGATCTCAACTGCACCAGTTCTGTCCCAGTGGTCAAAGAAGTAATGATTGTAGAAGAGTGTAAATGTGAGACTCAGAGGATTAAACATCCTGCAACTGGATCTCTACAGTCAGACTTGCAATCAAATGTACATGAGCACAATTAACCTGCGCAAAGTATCACTTAACTGCTTGATCATAAGAATCTGCCAATGAGAAAAATCAGAAAACTAAAGCTGTCATCACATTGACACAAAAAAGTATTAAAGATGAAGATTTTCTGCTTGAACTGTTTCTCTGCTTCAACAATAACATTACCTAAAATGTAACAGTTGTTTCCTTGCTGCTGTTAAAGAAATGGAGATGAGATTATGGGGTTTATGTGTAGAGTTCTTACTTTAAGAAAGGTAACTTTTAAAAATTTCTCCATCCTTCCTATCACTGTTTCTAGGATGCTAGTAGCAGCTGAAGAACTAGCACGACTTATCTGTGCAGAAACCTAAAGTGTTGTCTGGTTTACATCGTTTTTACTTGCAGGGACTACTAATATAGCAGTATAATTGTATTAGCAACATAGGTAAGGCATAAGTCTCTTCCTTGCAAAAACAGGTCTACATTTACATCAACATAGTGGCTGGAGAGTGTAAAACAGAAATGGATGTAAGACAAATACAAAACTGACTAATGTCATTCTGATTGCTCCCAGCTGGAACTTCCCTGTGAAAAGCAATATACCTCACAATATACACAGCTAGGCAGTGGCTGCAAAGGATATTTTGCCATAGGAACCGTTTACTCTCCTTCTCTATGCCTGCACTCACTCTGCATGGTTGTTTTGCTACGTTACATAGTAGAAGAAAAGGAAACATAGAAAACAGTATAATCCCACAGGAAACATAACACATTAATGGTTTGTTACTAGTATTAAAATAAACTGTGGAAAGACAAGGCATGTTTTCCACTCTGCCAAATTTTAACACTGAAAGTGACAAGTTCAAGTAATGTTCTCAAAACCTAAACTAAAGCAGAAAAGGCATTTCTGTGATAGCAGACCTGCAGGATTTTATCAGCGTGGCGATACCTGTATGGCTTCACAAGAACAGCCAGGAAAACTCATCTAGGAAAGCTCTGAGTCTACTGCTAGCCAACACAGCACCAGTGGCTGCTAGCTGAACTACTGGCTTCTCTGCTCTCTTCAGCTGCTTCTCCGTAGGTTTGTCTTGCAAACTTGGCACCACCAGACAACGATCAGCCTCCAGCAACGAGATTTCAACAGCCTATTTATAACCTAGCTCCTTCAGTCCTCTGAGAATCTGCTCCGGTGGTGATGCCAAACTCTCAGCCCTGGGTCCCTGATGTTAAAACTACCCACAGCTATTTTTTTGGGTATTGAAAATCAGTATTGACATAACTGGTCAGTTCAAAGGTTGGGTGAATGGCTCCTTGTATTTTAACTGCACTGTGATTGGAAATGCCTTAATATCCTGTCAAAAACTATGTTTAGCATGGCTTTGGCGGGCAAGGCCCATGTTTAATATTTGCATGTGAATGATACTCTGATAATGGATTTGAACTGCTGCAATAACTGTTTGCTTCTGCAGGTCACCTGCACTGAGCAAACTGAAGATTAGTATATAGTTATCTTTCATGATACATAAACCTGGTTTTAAAGAATAAAAATTGTATACTAAATCTGAACAAAGCCTCCTCTCTACCCTCTTCACAAAGGACTGACCTGCACACTGTATAAAAGACAAGTCTTCTGAGGTTTCTAACCACTGACGCTTTAAAGCAGTATGAATATATAAGAACATTTGTCTGCATTTTCTTTTTCTTTTTTTTTTTTTTTTCTGAACTGTGTGTTTTACATTTGATACTTGTGGAGAACCACTTGAGGATAGGACTGAGACACACTCCCAGTATGATCACAAGTCAATTAAAGAGAAAAATCTTCCAGACTTGTAATTTTGACATGACTGACTGCTAAACTGTGACTTTTGCATGTAAGGATGCAAACAGCAAAAAAAGGATACTATACTGTGGGCTGTAAAGTACCCAGTCTGATTTTTAAAGCTCCTTCTGTGTGCCGAAGCATTATTGCAGTCAAAGAAAGGTATTCATGAAAGAAGCTTCCAGGACCTATTTCTTAGTGTGAATTTGCACAGCCTAAAAGTAGGTGGAAAGAGGTAATGACAGCTGTAGTAATAGCTAATTAGATTAGTGCTGTAGGTTTTTGGATGAATGTTTAATTAACCCAGCAATGACCAGCTGCATCTAATTAGGACAGTATTCTGCAAAATCAAGAATGTGTTAATTGGATCTCACTTCTCAGCCTTTAAAAATTCCATATTAGGAGAAAGTTGTGCTCAGGGGCTAACAGGTTTTGCTCTTCCAGCACAGCTATGATGGTCTTTACTGGTATAATGATGTCAGTCAGAGAGGTAAGGGGTGTGATCCATATTGCCATATGGTATCACTGAATGGATGCTTCCAGTAGTAATGCTGTTACAGCAGTAAACCTGCATGACTTTAGCTTTGTTGTGTCCATTCATAGGCTGCATAATAATGATATAATGAAAGCTTTTCCAGTGCAACTAGGCTTACAGTGGAAGTGCTGTTAATGTGATCTCTTCTATTTCAGAGCACTCCTTGTGCGACCCTTTCCTACAGAACAAGACTAAGCCATAGTTGCACACTTCTCTGGAAATTCAGCTCAATCCCAAGTGGAATTGGACATCTGACATTTTATGTGACCTACTGCTTCTTTTCCAAATGGGTGTAGTTTATGCTGAAAATAATTGAAAAGAAGTGCTGTAACTACTGAAGCAAGATAAATCTTCAGCACAGGCTATGCTCTTAAATAAGGTTTTTACGCAACCAGTTTTAATGCCTCTAATTACATCAAAATCATCGAATTCTGTGCAACCATATGTTCCGGGAAAAAGTCTCTGAAGCTGCACTCAGTACTTCATGCTGTGCTTGTAACTTTCTTCACCATTTATGAAATATTTGCAGCCTCGTGGTTCTCAGCTAACAAGCTTTAGCATGTTTTACTGACGTGTGGTGAAATCTTTTGCAGCACTTTCCCCTAAATGTACTAGGTCCTTGCTGCAATAGCAAGACAATCAGAATCCCTACTCAGAGGGAAGCTCCCTGCCAGTCTGTACAGCAGCATAAACACATCATGTCCGGGATGCACCTGGGAGCCTGTGCTGTGCAGCATGGTGCATGTGAAGAGGCCTGGGGTTGAGGCTACCTCAGGTCCTCCATCAGGCAGCTTGCCGGTAATGGACCAAAAAGGACCAAAAGCTAAAATTAATAATATAAGAAGAAAAGTCAGCCTGGTATTTCCCTAAGGCCTTTTTGGAGGCATTTTCATTTTGCTGGCTTAGGGTATTGCTATTTAGTCTGACGTTCTGCCGGTGGCTGCAGCCTTCAGTCAGGGTGTTCGAGCGGAGCAGGCAGGTACCTAGGCTGCCTGGCTGAACGAAGGAGAACCTCAGCCTAACCCCCTGCTGAAGCTGGTTCAAACCCACCTCGCACTGCGACTGATACAGAAGCATTCAAGCAGCCAGCTGGCCAGCCTGGGCTTCAGACAGCAACTCTGGGAGGGAAGGAGGTGTTAGAAAAGCTAATGTGAGGACATCTGCAGCTAGACATCATCTGAGCAGAGCTCCTCATGCCACTAAATTGCCCTAGGTGAAAATTTAACTCCTTAAATTAGACTACTGCCTGGTCCAGCTTAGCCCTCCACGTAACCTGTCTGGGCTGGGGGATCAGTAGATTTCACCTTGCCTAGTACTGAGGCAAACAGATAGGAAAACTTATTTTGCCTTTGATTTTTCTGGCAATTAGGTCAAAAAGAAAATGAAGCCTGAAAGATACTTCTTTTTTTTTCTTTATTGCCTCGTTCTGAGTATATGACATTGTGGCTGACAAAGCTTCTGGAGCAGGACGGGCTTTCCTTCAGAACAGCACATCATTAGCACCGAGCTCCATCTTCCTGACATAAAGAATTTTGCTCTCGAGCTGCCAAGTGTCTCCCAAGTACGTCAGCAAGGTTTCCAGGGAAGTGCACAACGAAATGGTGCTGTGGGACGAAATGGAGGTAACACGTGCAATTTGGAAAGATCCAGGAAGATGAGTGTTGTTGAGAAGGCTGATTTCACATCGTGGGAGATACCTGTGCATGCACAGCACCCCTTCTGCACATCGATCCAGGGGCACAACTGGGCTCAAAATGGAACGCTGGAAAAGGGTCTCCAGAAGCAAGGGGCTTGTAAGCAGTCGGAGTCAGGGGAGCTGCTGTGTGTACCTCTCTCCTGCGTGTGCTCTCCACAACAGAGCATCAGCTGTTACTGCACATGGCTTGATTTTAGCATGCTGATTTAATATTTATAGAGTGCCAATAAAATTTATCTGATGACAGCTGGTGGCTCTTGTGGTAATTTATAAACAGCAACAACAACACAACACAGACATCAGAAACTTCAAGAGGAATTCTGTGCTATTGTGCTATATCGAGCACTGAAAACGTGGGTATTTTTCTAATTCTGCAGAATTTTAATAATCCTTGTGGAATACATCCACACCGGACTTTATGTAAGGCCCATAGTTTGCAGAGTTAGCATTTCCTGCAGGTACGTTTTGTCTTTCAGGAGTTGGCCACGAAGACTGGGTACCTGCCTATCTGGGTCAGCTCCTCTGGCGAGAGCGCCGTGCCTGCTCTGAGCTGAGGAAGCGAGGCAGGCAGG